GCCCCCGGGACCCCTCTGAACCAGTGCTTCCTCCCAGCATGCATTTAACACGGATGCAGCCCCTCAGACCGCTTTAGAGAGAGGCAGATACAGCCACAAAGCTCCCGACACCAAGCACCAGACACAGCGCCAGGCACAAAGCTCAAAGCTCCCGGCACCAAGCACCTGACACAGAGCCCTAGACACCAGGCTCCCGATGCAAAGCATCCTGACACCAAGTGCCCCACACAAAGCGCCCTGTCGTAGGTTCACCAGAACACAGCTCCTGGACCCTCACCTTGCCCACCTGCCCTGGCTCTGGGCGCCCAGTGTCACACCTGCTGTTAGAAAATGCCCACCCATAGCTAGAATCGCCCCTCCTCTGCCCCCTTCTCCCCAGCTGGGGAGGCCCCGCTCTGTCGGCGACATTCAGAAGAGAGGGGAATTGGCTTCATTCATGGCTTCCTTCCCTCAGAGCATCAGGCATCGGAAAGTGGCTGATCTCAAGAAAGTGTTCTCCAGGAATCTGTCAGCCCACTTATTCCTGCCTTGGGACACCACATAGCCGAGGCCAGGGCACCGGGGTGAGCAGGAACTGCTGGGTTCCAGGACTGGAGGACGTCCATTACTGGCCTCTCAGAGCTCCCGCCATCCTTAGAAACAGGGTCTAAGCTCAGGAGCCGTGTTTAGGTGCGACATGTCAGGCTTTGGCCTGCACATTCCTGGTCCTCAGGCCGCCAGCTTTGGCTGCCCCTGAACCTCCTTAGACAGCTGTGCTTCACCTTTCAGATGTGCCACAGCCAGAACACAAGGTCACTTCAAGCCAGCCTTGGCTGCAGTGATCTCAAAGGCTGTAAGAATGTTACTGTCCTTGAATTGAAAAATGCGGCCCTGACTTCATGGGACAAACATCTTTCAGACAGTTGATTGTGCGGTGGGGTCTCCCTGGCTTCAGAGTTGCTCACGTTTCCCTGAGGAGCAAAGGGAAGCCCAGGCTCATGCCCGTCCGGCCTGAGTCCCGTTGGCCTTAAGTTAGCATAGCAAGGAGTCGGCCTGGAGTCCCTTCTGCGGGGAGCGGGCTTCCTCAAGAACATTCCGGATGCTGGGAGGATGCAGGGCGTCTGTGCAGCCCCTTCCTGCTGGGGAGTGTAGGAGCTGAAGGCTGTGCCCAGCTGTGCACGTCACATCCTGGGCCTCCGGCACAGCCCTCCTGGCCCAGCACAGATTAGACACCCCATCGGCAGCTGGCACGAGGGCACCGAGCCTCCCAGTGAAGGCCCACCCCTCCGCCAAGCAGAAATCCCACCAGGAGTGGACGGGACCACGGACCTGCGGGGCTGTCCCACCCCAACGCACAGCCTAGGAGTGGTTAGGCCCAGGGCAGGGGGAGCAGACCTTGGCTCCCTCTGCTGGTGACCTCTTCCCCTGTAGGTGGAGGAGTCACAGCACCGCGTCCCCCTCGCTCTCCAGGGTGGTGGCGGCCCTTGGTCAGCCGCTGCAGGGCACCTTTGCTTCCCGGGGCACACTCCTCCCACCCGGCCAGCGTGCTCAGGGAGATGGCTCCAGGCTGCAGGGAGCAGGGCTGTCGGGCCTCTCCGGAGCGAGACGGCAGGGCCATCCGCCTTCCCCCACGAGGCAGTCTACAGAGGCACCGGTCGGCCACCTGGCTCGTCACTCCGGCCCCCCAGCCCGTGAGCAGGCTGCTGCCACACACGGCAAGCGGCCTTGCAGCCACACGGGGCTGCCGTTGGTTACTTGCTTCGTGAGGGCGCACGAGAAGGCTCGATGTTCAGTTCTAGGGCAGGAGGTGGGCGTGGCCCCTGCCGGGACTCTAGTTCGGGGGCCAGGAGGGCCCGCAGAGCCGGTGTCCCCCGGCCTCTCCTGGAGTCCCCAGACCTGAGCGTCCCTGGCTCCTTGCATCCCCAGGCACCCCATGCCGAAGGGATCAGGCTGGCTCTGCGCTTGGCTGGCGCTGCACAGTCTCCAGCAGCGCCAGCCCTGCGCCCGGGCAGGCCCGCTCTGCCAGGGTCCGCGAGCTCACCCGCCTGGGAGGAGCTGGGCACCTGCCCCATCCTTGGCGCCGCGCACAACCGTTGCTGTCTTACCTTCGCAAGTGACTTTTTTGTTCTTCGTAGCTGAGCGTTGTTTGCCTTTCATCAGGTACAGTGCCATGAAATAATACGCTTCCTCCTCTTTGTTATCTTACCAGGTACCTATGTTTAATGGCAACTTTTTCAGTCTTGAGTATATTAAACCTTTTTGTTAATTCTTCAACAAACGTGGTGATGAGTGGGTCCCGCCCGCGTGTGGACTCTCAACCCTTAAACGTGTGTTCTGTGTGGAAAGCGTGGGGAGTCCCGCCCTCGTACCTTGTGGCCGCGTCCCCGTGCTCCACACCTTCCCCTCTGGTCTGCTGGAAGCTGCGTGGCGGCTTTTCTCTGCCCAGACGCACGAGGAGCAGACACCGCGAGGACGCCCGGCTCTCCTGCCTGGTCTGCGTCCGCATGTGGGCCACATGCCTTTCCCGGCCCTGGGTCATTCCCCCAACTCCTGCCGGGCCATGCGGTGGTCTGGAGGGAAGGAACATCCTGCAGAGGGCATGGGACTCCATGACCTGCCTTGCCACAGGAAGCCGGCCTCGGGCCGCGGCCTGGGCAGCTGCACCCCTGTCGGGGAGGCCAGACACGGAGGACAGCTGCCGTGTCCTGACGGCAACCTTCTCAAGCTGAAGGAGAGGGTCCCCAGAAGCCCCCCCCACCAAGCGGGCATCCCAGCAGGAGTGGGCCAGACCACAGATCTGCACGGCCCTCCCACCCCGCGCTCCGTCTTTAGTGTACTGTTGACTGTTTGCGCAGACATGAGTGTGCCCTGTGGAGGCCAGGCTGGCGCCCTCCCGCCCCTGCGGATGCACCCCTTGGCGGCTGGCCTGCCCTGTGATCCAGAGCAGGGCCCAGGAGGGCTCCACCGGGAGAGGCCGGCTGGCCGATGCGGCCCTCAGGCCTGCACGCCCCCGTGTCGCCTCAGGCGCCCCGAGCGCATGCGCCCCATGGCCATGACTCCTCCTGGCAGGAGGGACCCCGGCGGGGCCGTCTGTGTCCCACTGTCCTTCTTGCCCGTCTCGGGCTGTACTTCACATGGGCTGGAATGATGTATCCTGCTGGCAGTGGCCCTGTTCGTGGCGACAGTAAAAGACTAATCTGGAAGGAGACCCTGCTTTACTAGCTGCAGCCGGGTGGGCACAGAGGAGCCTTGTGCGGTGCGGAGGCCGAGGCCGGCCCAGGGGCTACACCTGGCTCTGGCACACCGTCCTCTCCAGCTCGGGTGCTGCCTGCCTCTAGGCTTCGGGATCTCGGCGGGGGAGGGGGGGTGGAAGTGCCCCCTTCGCAGGGCATGAGGGTCCCAGCATGGCACAGCTGGAGCTCCCAGCACAGAGCCCATGCCACACAGGTGGGACTGTGTCGAAGGTGACGGCCACTCTGGAGGAGCCGAGTTCACGTGGTCCCCGCCTTCCATGGACAGCGGACCTCACAGGCCTCCTGGAGGTGACCCTGGCTGGTCTGTGAGCCCAAGAGGTCATGTGGGGGGTGCGAGGGCCAGGTCCAACCCTCAGGAGTTCACCCTGTGAGGAGCGCCCCGATGTCCCCGGGCCAGGGACAGCCAGTGGCCACGGCCGTGCCTTCCTGCACCCTGGAATGACCCCAGGGCTGCTGATGCTGCCTGCATTCCCTGCACCGCCCACTGCGTGCGGGCTCCCAGCCTGGGGGTGAGCAGTCAGCAAGGAGCAGCCGGGGGCCTCGTGCTGGCAGGCTAACCCTGGCACGGGTGCGGGTGGCCCCGGAGCATCCCTGCAGGCTGCTGGATCTCCTCAGGGTAGCCTCTCGGCATCTCGAGCCCTTCCTCAGGCAGAGGGGCCCCCGGCCGCCCACCAAAGGCTGGGGTCAGTGGGACGAGGCTGAGGTCAGCCGGCTGGGCTGGGTGCGTCTTCCCTCGCCTCCGAGGTCAGCCAGTCACCAAGTCCCCCGGAGTGTGGGTCCACGCCCCCCCAGCCATGGGAGCTGCGGCTCCTCCGCGGCACACGGTGGCTGGGCCCCGCCACGGCCCCACGCCGCCGTAAGGATGTGTGGGCACCAGGAGCGTCCACACTGCCGCGCACCTCTGGCTGAGCAGGGCTGGGGCCTTGGGGACACGCCGACCCAGGTCACACAGTGCCGTCCACTCAGTGCTCGGGACACACGGCACCTCGGGTCACCCGGAGAGGAGGGACCGCACATTTCTGCGTTAGGAACAAACAAGAGATGCCCACGCTGGGGGGGGGAGTACAGGATGTCCCCCTCGGTCTTGCGTGTCCCAGCAGGACCCAGTGCGGGGAGCGGGGTTCCCACGGGCGGCAGTCCAGTCCTCTGGGTGGGTGCTGGACGCCACGTGCAGTGTGGGCCACCACGGGGCCAGCCCTCCACCGGGCTGGCACG